CCCCAAAACCCCAAAACCCCAAAACCCCAAAACCCCAAAACCCCAAAACCTTCTTCAAAACAGACTTTAATATTTTAACTAAATTTTTAATACTTCTTCTACTGCTGCTCGTAAAGTAGAATGTAGGCATCAGAAGTTTGGATTTTCTTCCTGGAGATTTTGGTGAAGGTGCAGTCATCCAAGTGGAACCATTCGGAGTTTCTTTTGCACATGGCTGTGTAGTGGCCGGAGGTGAGGGTGCCTGAGTGGTGGATGCAGCTGAGGAGGGTGTATTTGGGGGAGAATTGGGTAGGGAAGTTTATTTTGGAGATGATTTTTGAGCTTGTGAAGGGGTCGAGTCTTTGGAAGGAGAGGATTAGGTACTTTGGGAATTTTATTATTTTCTTCTGGATAGTACAGTTTCTAAGAGATTTACAAGTTTTTCACAGTATTTGGGAGTCTTCAAATTTAGTAAAATCTCTCCATTCTTCAAATCCTTTGTTTTCTTCCATTTCATAGCAATTTATTGGGATACTATTAAACTCTTCGTAATTTATGACTTGCTCATGTCATCCTTCTCAAGTAAACACTGTCTGGTACATTCCTATAAACAGCTGATCAATAATTGAAGTATGACTTTTTGCATATCTCTTCCAGGCTTCTTTGCCATTTTTATGTCCTGAAGACACAAATGTTCCACTTGGTGGATCATGTTCTTTTTGAAGATGTTCAAAAAGATGCATGATAAATTGACAAGCATCATGTTGTTGAGAAGGGGGATATTCTTTATCAAATAATTTTCTAAATGCAGAGTTGGAAATCGGCCCTGGTTCATCAGAAAAATACTCCAGCATCAACTCTTTAAGATTCTTTGATAATTCTTGATTTCTGTTACTGTCTTCAACAAAACAGTTATTATTTAATAAATGTTTAGAATTATCCTTAAATAACTCCTTTGCTCAGAAGTATAATATAAATTCATGAACACCGAAAAGAGCCTGAAGCACAGAATTAATAAATCAGTCATAATAGGGGTTTGTTATTCCTTTGGGTCTAAAATGTCACTTGTCTCTAAATATTAATAAATTTTCATACAGACTACTACTTTTTAACACTTTGTTTGTCTTTTGTGAAACTCTTCTCGTATCTTTGTCTTGAAAGGATTTATTATCTAATTCTAATTTCTTCTGCTCTTTTCTGCCATGAGCCTTTATATTTTCTTTATTAACCTTTGCTCTACTGTTTTTAAAATATATTCATTCCCTGAGTTTTCGAATTGTTCTTATTTCCCTCTAAAAATCTTGATTCATTCTAAAATTAAACTTTATTTCTACTGAATAGTTATTTGAAAATTCCCATTGAGTAAATTCTTGCAGGTCTGAGTCGATTTGGCTATTTGTAGACTTTCATTCTCAGTCAATTTTAATCTTGGGTGAACCACTAAGCTCTTGAGTCTTCCTTTCAGCAATTAGTTCTCTAAGTGGAGGTGATATCTTTTTAAGATGTCTAGGAGGAGCCATTTCTTTAATACTCTGTGTCTGAGTTGATTCAACAGAACCAGTGTTAGAGTTGTTACCAGCATCAGATTTGCTTATGCTATTTTCTTCAATAGATCTGGATTTACCTATTCTGATAAATTTTAAAGGATTATCTCTTTTTGAAGCTCAGCATCCCATCTTCTTTAATTTTGTAATTTATTAATTAGGATTTAAATTTTTGGTTTATGAACTGGGGTTTTGGGGTTTTGGGGTTTTGGGGTTTTGGGG